AAAATTYAACGGGCAGAACGCAGCAATGAGGAACACGGATATCCCTGGAAAAGTCAGGATGCCTGGGGACTCAGACCAGGTCCCTCAGCTTCCTGCAGACATGCCAGAGGACACTGGGATGTCTGTCTTTGGGATGAGTTCACTGCAGAACCGAATAAGCAAGCACTAGATTAAAAAAAAAAATCAAATCCATTAATATGAGCAAAGGAACAAGTTTTAAGGTTTTTTAGAAGGCCACACTTACATCAATATCCCACAAGTACAGTGTGCTGCCATCACCACATCACAATTCTGGGAGCAGATCCTCACCAAGGGGGCAGAGTGATATCACCTGCACACTCACTCAAATCCTTTATTTCAAAGTTTGTCAAGCCTGTTTTGTTAAAGTATCCCTCTGGGGATCTTTGGTGGATTTTTTTCCTGTTGTCATGTGAGAGGTTGCTGCCAGCAGGTACTGTCACCATAAGTGTGGTCAGCTAGGTGTGAAAATTTAAGATTCTTTGTCTTGYTTGAAAGCTCCTGATAAGAAGCTTCATGGGACTGAGGAGCACAGCTTCCAGGCCATGTATTGAATACAACAATGAGGCTGATATCACCGTAAATGGGGCTCATGAGCCCTTGGGTGCCAGGTGTGCAAGTGAGACAGAATCCCAGCGCCAGCAGGGACAGTTTCTGTCACCTCAGCCACCTGGGATCCCAAATTAGAGGTTGCTGTGTCAAGGGGGAACCGCAGACTGACTTACAGTTCCTTTTATTGCATTTGAGGGAGCAATGSCATTTGTGGGGTTGCAGCCAGTGGGACAGACCACGGCCACAASCAGCAAGTCTCTTGTCCAGCTTGAAGAGATGGATAGGTGGGATACAGACACATGATAAGGCTTAATAAACATAACAGGCCTCGAGGAAAAGCAGGTTCCAGTCTGCAGATTTTGAAAGGTGCAAACCACATCCAGTTCCACCCAGAGACCTCACCGAATGAAACGGAGAGTCTTGCTGCACATTCCCAGGACACACTGAAGTAGACGTGGAAAACAGTAAACAAAAAAAAGCCAGGCAGCTGGATTTTCAGGTCTAGCCACATGTTTGGGCGAAGGAATCCACCGACTCCAGATTCCTGTGCTCCCTTTGTTGATAACAGGATTCCCAGTCCTGGCAGGCCAGAAACCCACCATGCAGATGTGTTCTTTGCACATCCAACAGGAAACCCAGCCTGGCACAGAAAGTGAAATAGTTCCTGGCCTTTTTGATTATGAGTTAAATATGGAACTAGTAAAAAAAAAAAACCAAAAAAACAAGCAGATCAAAGTGCAGCTCACAGCCTGTTATTAAGCTCAGAAGACATGAGYTTGGAATAACTCCACACCATGGGATAATCCTATGCAATGGGGATAGGACAGGTACCCATTCCCATCACAGGGTTTCCAGCTGCCTGCATGCTAGAGATGGGTCTTACACTGCTGTGGTGTCTGCACCCTGTGCCCCATTTGGGGAACTCCCCAGCCTGCATCTGCCCCCAGCCCTGGGGAAGGCATTCACCCACAGCAGCTCCCACMCACAGCTCCTTGGAGCAGGGCATTRCATCCTACCCACAGCTCCAAGAATGCATTTACAGCATAAAATATCGTGTGATAATCTCTTCTTTTTGGATGACGAGGCTGAAAGCTCATTAAGGCCATTACAGCAGAGGCGACAGGTGTAACAGAGGAGAGCCATTACTGTGTTTATGMTGTTACAGCAATGTTTGTAATTTGCTTTTAAAACTTCAATCATTTGGCTGCCAGGACAAATGAATTAGTGTGATGATGCCTTCCAGAGGAAGATGCTGATGATGTAGTTTGCAGGGCTCGTGCATCTGGGATTCCCCTGGGATAAGAGATAGGATTTGATGGCGCACCAAATGCATTACAGGATCTACCTCACTTCACCTCACTGAGCTTTGTCCCTTCTGCATAAATGCCTTGTTTCTCCACTGCTGCTTTATCTCTGTCCTCAAAGTGGGGAGGAGGCAAGACAAGCCATCTCTGTTGATTCTCACTCACAGAACGCAGCAGTCCCAGCCCTGGCCGACTGGGCACACCCCTCCAGGAGAGCAGAGGTGAGGCCCAGACTTCAGTGCAGAGCCCAGACTGATAAAAATATCCCAGACTGATAAGACGATGCCCTGAGCCAGCAAAAGTTGAGGAAGTGGTGGCGGCACTGGGGAGCGGCCTCGGGAAAGGCTGAGGTCAGGAAGAGCACAGGACGGGGACATGGCTGAGGTTCATGGAGCAGAGGTGACGTGGGCACAGGCACAGAGGAGAAATCCACAGGGCAAGAGTCTAGGGTGAGCAGAATACATGTGTATCAAAACATCTTGGTCACACACACATGGCCACATGATCAATGSGTTGGACATGGAGTGGAAAATAATATAAAGCCAGAGGGATGGTGGATGGATGAAGACACCCTACACCCACATCCCCTCTGTGGGAAGCTCAGATTAATCCATTCCCTCTGTAAACAGGAGCACTGTCCCTTTAAAACATGTGAATTTCTCCAGAAACAATTATGCAGCATRAACACAGCAAAATCAACAGGGTGAATTTCGAACTAATAAAGATTTAATCTCTCAGTCATGAGACTGCGTTTGTTAGGAAAACACACATACCCCTGAGAATGCAGCTACGGTTGCTATACTACACACTGCTCAGCAGCTCGCTGGGCATTTTTCCAAACCCGTTTATTTTTAACATCAGTCACATTATTCAATTAATTATAAAAACACTGAGGTTTTCAAGAGATGTTTCTGATAAAACTGCAAAGTAAATATGCGTGAGAACAGCAAGGATCAAAGTTTCTGTAAACTTTAGCATTTGGGGCTGTTGCTATAAACAAGAGAAGTCCTCGAGGAGGTTATTTATCAAAATGAATCAYAGCAGATAACACACAGTCTCCTCCCACACCACACACAGGGATCGTTTGTCCTTTACATAGGGATGGAAGCAGAGCATCCACATGTCTGTCAGCAGTGTGCTGGGGCATGAGAGGTGTGAGAACTGRGCTGGATTCTTCAGATGCCTCCGGTATTTCAGCAGCACAGCTTGGTAAATACCATACTTTTAGCGGGCTCAGCTCTTTTGCAATAAGGTGGAAACAGAAATCAAAAAATACCAGCCCATCTCCAGCAATGCCTCAAAGCCTTGAAAACACCAGATAGGAATTGATGGAAGGATTCAAGTCTTGCCTGTACCAGCAGCCTCCACAAGCCCYGCTGTTCCCTGGTAACTCCTGGTATGTCCTGTGATGGTTTCATTGTACCAATATAAAATGTTTTCCCAATCCAAAGTCTGTTTAAACTTAACCCAGTAAGCAAAAATCATAACAATGGATTTGGCTTAATCCAATTTTTTACTTTATCCAAGGACGTTGCTGTGTACTTTTTCTAGCAGACTTTCTATTTTCAAGGCTCACATTGTGATGGTATTTGATAGCTCTGATATTGTTTGCATAGATGACAAAGATTGCARGCAAGGAGTGTGGGCATCAAAGCGTGGCAGAGAGCAAGGACTCCAGACTTTCATCCAAGCTTTGCATATCAGCCTTGGGAACAGTCCCTCCCATGTAAGCCTTGACTTCTCAGCCACAGAGGCTCTTGGGCAAATCCCTAAATTTAAAAATTAGGCAAATCACATTGATGATTGTAGACTCCTTCAGGACAAGGAGAGACATTTTGTTCTGCTTGCCCTTAAACGGTGGAATCCTGCCTAACCAGGGATCCCAGCCRCAGCGTGGGACACGGCAGCAGCACATAATAACAGGGAGCCATTTTGATGAAGAGATGCGCCCAACTGGTTGCCACATCTCACACRTCGAGGACGAGATTTCAGCTCCCAGCCCTGCCTCATGCTGCCCCCAGGGCTTTGTGGTGCCAGGGCCTCCCTCCTGCTCCCAGCCAGCCCAGGCACTGCTGGCCAGCCTGACCCACGGCCACTCTGTGGTACCCTGAGGGGACAGGGTGGCCACACCGCTGAGCGACTGGAGRAGCTGTGTGCCTGCAGCCCAAGGGACACACTGAGGAGAGGGATGTCACCAGGAGCTGCTTGGGCACTGGGATGAGCCCGTGGAAGGGTTCCTGGCTGTCAGGAGGATGCAGAGACCACATCTGTCACAGAATCACAGAATGGGTCAGGTTGGAAGGRTCCACAGTGGGTCATCTGGTCCCATCTTCCTGCTCAAGCAGGGTCATCCCAGAGCACATGGTACAGGACTGTGTCCAGACGGTTCTGGAATAYCACCAGTGAGGGAGACTCCACAACCYCTCTGRGCCAGTGAGCAATCACTGCACAGGAAAGAAATTCTTCCTCATCTTCAGGTAAAACTTCCYGGGCTTTGCTTTCTGCCTATGGCCTGTTGTCCTTGTGGTTGGCACCACTGAGCTGAGCCTGGCTTCATCCTCTTGGCAGCCCACTTTAGGTATTTTTACACATCAATGAGGTGCCCTCTCWAWCATCTCTTCTCGAGACAAAACAGGYSTATCTTCCTCAGCCTTTCCTCATAACAGAGATGTTCCAATACCCCAGTCATCCTCGTTGCCGCACCCACTCCAGGAGTTCCATGTCTCATGTCAGAGCTGCCTCTGCCATCACCTCAGCCCAGGCAGGGACACCCCAGCCGCAGGTTCCTGTCATCCCCTCAGCTCTAGTGCCAGCTGGGGACTGCTCAGCCTCCRGCGGGGCTCCCAGACATGCTGTGAGGCAGAAAGCCCGCCGATGTCGCCCGCRCTCCTACTGAGGGGACAGYGGAGACCCCGCTTCCCGCCCACCCCTCAGACGGGGGCGGGGCTTGTCCAAACCGACAGCCCTCTCCRCCAATCCCCGCGCTCCTTTCCCCGCCCCGTGTTGGAATAACCAATCACAGATTTGCTGCGCTCAGCCCGCCTCCTTGCCGCTGTCCAATCGGGGAGCGCCGCTCGCGTTCTCGTGTCTCGGGGAGGAGGGCGGGGATTACGTGCTGTCGGCATTCCCGAAGCGCGGCSGTGCCGCTCTCCCCGCGCGTTGGCTGCGCACTGCCTGCGCTGTCGGCGTAGCGGCCGCAGTTGGCGTAGCGCGGGCAGAGGCGGCCGTGTCGGGGAGCGGCGGCCGCCGTGCGAGGAGCGGGCTGGAGGAGCGGGCAGGGCCGGGCAGGCACCGGGCCGGGACCGCGCCAGGACCGCGCCACAGGTCAGTGGAGAGCGCCGGGAAGCAGGCTKAGGCTTCCCATACGCAGCTGGTGATGTGGGGCCGGGAGAGGAGTAAGTCCGGGCTACAGCTCGGTGCACGGGCTGGGAGGGGGCTGAATCCGGCAGCAGCTCGGTGCACGGACTGTGGGGCTGGAGCTGGGCTGCGGCCCGGGCACGGCCCGGTGCTTGGCCCCTGGGGCTGGGCTGCAAGGCGCTCGGGGGTTCAGAGGGCCAGGAGGTGGGCTAAGACCTGGGCACAGCTGAATGCACCGCTCAGACAGAGAGCTGGGACCTGGGCATAGCTCAGTGCACGGCTCAGACCGAGAGCTGGGACCTGGGCACAGCTCAGTGCACCGCTCAGACAGTGAGCTGGGACCTGGGCACAGCTCAGTGCACGGCTCAGACCGAGAGCTGGGACCTGGGCACAGCTGAATGCACCGCTCAGACCGAGAGCTGGGAGCTGGGCACAGCTCAGTGCACGGCTCAGACCGAGAGCTGGGACCTGGGCACAGCTGAATGCACCGCTCAGACCGAGAGCTGGGAGCTGGGCACAGCTCAGTGCACGGTTCAGACCGAGAGCTGGGACCTGGGCACAGCTCAGTGCACGGCTCAGACAGTGAGCTGGGTCCTGGATACCGCTCAGTGCATGATCCCGGAGTGCCAGGGACATGACCTCACAACAGCCGGGGCTGAGAGCTGGCAGCAGCTCGGCGCAGGTACACTGCTCTTGGAGCGGGCTGGTGGTGTGGAGCATTGACCTATCTCCCCCCGACTTTGCTCCAAGGTGCCCACAGGACAGCAGAGCCTTTGTGGAGGTGYCCGGGTCCCGGCACAGTGGGCAGAGCCAGCTGGGTTTACCCACAGCCACCGGGCGGGAGAGGGTCTTTAATCACCCATCCACCCACCCACGCAGGCAGCTCGTAGAATCAGTGAGGATTGTTTACTGCCCGGTGTTCATAACCTTGTGCCTTTGAGACGTTAATCAGCTCCCGCCTCGCTTGTTTCGGTGCTGTGTAAATGTGTAACGAAATTGCCGTCTCCAGCCCCAAATSTGAGCTGTGCAGGGCACAGCTCGGTGCAGACCCCGTGCCGGGGGGAAGGCAGCATTCCCGGTGGGCCTGGCGATTGGACAGCCAGATGACCTGATTCGGTTGTTATGCTGTGTAATCTGGAGCAGGCTGCTTGTTTTTTTCCCTCTCTGCTGCTTTCTCCATTTATAAGATACAGGTGCTAACACTTGGGGCTGGTTGGAAATTCAGGAAAGAAACAGATTTTTTATTTCTTGAGACGGYTTTTCCTTCCTCTTGCTAGACTACATGTTAGACTGATCTTGCTCGGTAAACTGTTTCTGATGATGGSTGAAAATAGAGCAGATTTTTATTAGCTGCTTTGCAAAACAGAAATTACAATGGGGATGAAAACAGTGAAGCTTGCCCTAGGCAAAAAGGGGAAAGAGGATGTTGGGGCTGGGCTAATTGGGGCCATACCTCTTTAGAMTGGAATGAGTCTGGACTGAATATTACCCATCCAAACAGGTTTTAGAGAAGGAGGAGGAGGAGTCCAATACTGGCTGGAACTAATTTACTCATTTCCCTCCCAAAGGCTGACCCAAAGACCTGTAACAAGGAGTTGCACAAGASATAGAGAYTGGAAGCTCTCTGAATGCACTGCCYGMAGACTTAAGGCTTCTCTGGGGACTCAAGATGACTTCYCACAAGAGATGCTTTCAGAAGGGGTTGTGCTGAAGACAGAACACCACAGCCTCTAACTGGGACAGCTCCTGCTGGTCTGGAGCTGMGACCCAACTTCCTTCCCTCCCTTTTCCCCTGGAGATGTTGCAGAGATTTAATCTGACCTCTTCCTGCTCACCTGAAGCCTGCCGTGGCGATGATCCCACAGCCAGATCCGACCACCAAAGAGAAGAGAATCGTGCGTTTGAAGCTGGGCCRTCGTTGTAACTGAACTGGAATTTACTCCCTGCTTGTGCTCCCGGAACCAGTGCCCTTCCTCTGCTTGTCTGTGTGTGCTGTGAGCCGCTTCTCCCTGATCTTGTTCRGAATTCCTGAGCTTTCCACACTGAATTTGCCCATGGCTTTCCTGATGAAGAAAAAGAAATTCAAATTTCAGACAAGTTTCACTCTAGAAGAGCTGACTGCCGTCCCCTTTGTGAATGGGGTTCTGTTCTGCAAAATCAGGCTGCTAGATGGAGGAGACTTYGCTAGTTTATCTACCAGGTAAGACCCTGCCTGCAGACTTRYTGCCTGGCTCTGCTTCTTTCCCTGSTTATTCTTCCCTTGAGTGGTTTAGCATATGGCCACCACTTGCTTACCCCTTGATGGGATTTTAATAGTTCTGTTGTAGAGCCCCACATGCCATATCATTCTCTGGAGCAGGGGAAGTACATAGCTGGAGAGCTCTGAACCTGGGTGGTGTTGGCTGATCCGAGCTGGATTTAATTTTTCAGAGATGAGGGGAGGGAGTGGGAGGTCACTCCCCTGAAAGGGGATTAAATCTTCTCTCTTTCCCCCTCTCCTTGCTCGGGTTCTCACACACTGTTTGAAACTATGTGCTGTATTGCCTTCATGCCTTACTTGAAACTCAACTCTGTAGAAAACTGTATCTAAGCAAATCAATCCTTCCTGACTTTGCTCTCCCCCTTTGATACTGAATTTCTCTTTTTGGTAAGGGTGGAAGTAGCTTGTTTTGCATTGCAAATTGCTGTGCGAGGGAAAACTGCTGCCTGGAGTCAAAGGTGTCAGTGTTAAAGACCCRTTTATCTCCGTGAACTGATGCCATTGCTTTTCCCACTTCAGAGCAGCAGTGTTTTCTATGTCATGTTGGGATGGTTCTGCTACAGGTTTTGTAAGGTTCTCTCATCTAGTATTGGCATTTCTCTGACTCCTTCAGGCAGGRCTGTCCCCACTCTGGTTACTAATTGCTAATAAAAACTTGCTTTGTTTCCAACTATGCACACAGATTATCACCAACAGTATGCAAACACGAATTCCAYAACAGCCCAGACTTGCTTTCTGCCTCAAGATGTGAAGGAAGCCTTCAGTGGCTTTCAAAACTTGTTTTTTTGCTTTCCTGAGTGACTGCTCAGTTTTAAAGGTACAGGATGAGTTTGTGCTAGCTGTTAAGTGCTTTATCCTAGGGCTAAAGCCTGGTTGGGTCCTGTTTCCCTCTTTGTGGTGCTGTGTGCTGAGCTTTCTCATTTTGGAGAGACGATTTTATTGGGCAAGCTTAAAACATTTCTGTCTTGCAAACAGCTTGGGGTTTTTTTTTTTTTCTAGAGGCACGATGCAACCTCATCTGAAGACTGTAAAAGCCGTGGGTGTGGAACACCCCCAAAAATGGACTTTGAAATAATTTCTCTTTTGAAGAAAATCTATCAAAAGAGCTTTTCCTCACAGTGTTCTCCCCTGAGGCTAGATCCTTGGGTTTGGTRGAAGCAGCTTATCTAAGGAATTCAAACAGTGTGTGAACTTGGAAAGAAATTAACCCTTCTGCTTCCTAGAATCATAATAGAATAAGTGGCACTGGAGGGTATCTCTGGAAAAGYCTGTGCAGAGAAATGTCCATCTCCCTCTCCTTGTTTTCTCTGAAAGGGGGTTCTAGGAGCCTTCCCTGGATTTGCTGGTGCTGCCAGCCGTGTGGATTGTTTTCTGAGCTGGCTGGGGTTCAGCAGTTCGCTCAGCRTTGCAGATGTGTTCCAGCAGCCAAATCAACTGTAATTCAAACCAAACACATACACAGCTCTCAAAACGAGCAAAGGGGAAGTGGGCTGGGGGGTTTGCCGCCTTTCCCCCAACCTGTCTGTGCTCTAACTGAAAGCACATGGAGACCTGTTCCTGCTTGAAAAGTTATGRGTCTCAGTGGTATCGAGTCATTTGACCTTTTCCAAATATTTTTCCCTGTTGCAGTTAGAGAAACTTCAGGAGGGTTGGATTTCCAAGAGTTACCTTGTGGAGAGGCTCCCAGGTCATGCCTCGGCTTTGCTCTGTGCTCCTCTCTTCATTTCCATCACCTTTTTGATACTCACTGGGAAAGATKAAAGGGAAGGAGATATGTATATGTGTTGTGTTAGAAATCTGTATGTTATTTAGAGTCTGTGATTGTTTTTCTGAAATCAACCACTTCCAGAACTGMTCGGGTTTCAGGTTGTAATGCCTGGCAGGTCAACTCTTGTGAGTTGCTTGTATACAAAATCTGGTGTTTGCAATCGATTTGGGCTTCTGTGATCTGGGGTATTTGGAGAWCTGTGGCTGTGATTGAGCTGAGATGTAGCTGTTCATGACCATGARTTTTCAGAGAACTGATCTGAACAAGGTGTCCCATGTCACCTGGAGTCTGTAAACTGAGGTTAGAAGTAGGTTTAGGAACTCTTCACAGGAAACACTAAATCAGTTTTTGTAGTTCTAGTGTAGAAAGAGGAGTGTTGTATAAGAACCTCCAGAGACAAATTTTTCAGGTTATTTACAATAAGTGCACTTGACACTTCATGCATGTCTGTGGCAGGAGGTGGGAATATGATATACCCAATGAGTTGCCAGGTGGCACCAGGCTCATTTGACCTCTGGGCAAGGCAGAAGCAGCAGCCTGTACTGCTGGCTAATGTCAGCCAGTCCTGGTCCCAAGTCCACCTCAACCTGTGTTACACACAGCTGCTGCTCTGGGTCTGGTGGGACACAGGCTGGGCTGGACCCCCTTCYCAGGCTGCTCACACTGCTGGCTGGAGGGGAACCTGTCTGAAATGCATTAGGACTAAATGCTCTTAGGAATTTGAGGCTGTCTGGAAAARGTTCAGGTCCTGTCAGCACATTCAGCTTTGGGAATCTGTCTCTCATGGGTTTTCTGGTTTTGTTTTGGTTTTTTTTTAAATTATTTTCTTGCAGGCAGGTATTCTATTTCCCCACTTCCTGTGCTCAGGCCTTGCATTAAACTATTTAATGACTAAAGTTTCATCTATAAATATCTTTTTGCTTGTCTTTTCCTCTCCCTTTGTAAAGTTTCCTTAGGCTATGGTCAGGCTTCTGAGGATAAAACTTGCCCATTTCRCTTTACGGTGCTCTGTGTTAAAAGCATCTATTGTCTGTGGGTTTATCACCTTGCTGTTGGATTACAGAAATTGGGCATGTGAAAAGGCATCTGAGCCAGGTGTAGGCCAGGCASGTGCTATATTTCCCCACAGAGAAGTACCAATGTATTCGTTGAATATTATTAATCCAGATACCTAAATAGCACAACCGCCAGTGAATTCAGTTGCCTCCCAAGTATCTTTAAAAATAGCAGGCACAGAGCAGTTGGGATGTATTCATGGCAACCGTTTTTGTGGAGCAGATGGGCGGCTGCATTTTGTACCAGTTTGGAGCTTTCTGGGGGGTTGTGCAGCTTTGTTCCTAGAGAGATGATACAGTGAGTTAATCTGGGAAGTGTCCCATCCACGGATCAGGGCAGGCAGGAGCCTGAATGTCCAAATGAGTGCCTAAAACCACAGGCTGAAGTAGTAAGTGCATGTACATCTTTGGGTATCCCAGAAGAGGAAGACTCAATTAAATTCCCCCTCTCTGCTTTCAGTGTCAGTTCATGTTGAGTGACAGCCAGATGCTTTTTGCCTCAGTGCTGAGTGATTTCTGGCTCTGTGTTGGCAGCGAGCRTTGCCGGTGCACGATGTGAAGGAAGTGGAAAGCCAGGTGTTATCCACAGGCTCCTGACACCTCATCCTACATTGTTCTGTTAGCCTGCCAACAGTTTCACTCTGGTATTTCTGGATTTGAAGGAAGGGACTATACTCTGAAAKCCCCTGTCTGACTCTAGAGGAAAGACTGTTTTGCATAAGTTGAGCAGTTTTGAGGGCATTTCCCACCTTCCTCATTGTCTTCYGAAGGCACCTCTGACTGTATTTCCTTTGGGATCATGCTTTTCCAAGCATTAGCAGCATTTCTGCTTGGGTTTTCTGATGCTGGCACTCGTGCAGCACTTTGAAGCAAGGAATGTTGCTTGTCTCCTGCAGCCCAGCCCTGTTTGCATGCAAGCTTAATCTGGGAAGAGCTGACCCTGTTGGGGTGGTCTGACCTCCAAGTATGTCAATGCTGCAGCCTGAACCCAGAATGTTCTTAGCCTTGCAATTTTTAATTGAGTCAGTATGAAAGGCCACTTCCTGCACTGCATACTTTTTTTTTTTTTTTGAGATGTAAAGCTGCATCCAGAAAACCAAAGAAATGCTGATATTTGGGAAGGCATCTGATGCTCACAGCTCCCTGTGGACTGAGGTCAGCTTTTGTTTAAGTGTGGCTCTGTCATCATGGTGTAGGCACAAATGACCTGAAGCTACTTGCTTTTGTCAGCTGGTGGAATRAAAAGTATCATTATGCCTTAGTGATAAACAGAACTTTTTCACTACTATAGAAAATAAATAAAGGGGAGAAGCATTGGCCCTGCTAACACAGGACTGGTGATTCAAAAACCTTGTGAAGGGAAGTGCAAGTTGTGCCACCTCCAGAATGCAGCCCTTGGTGGTGGGAGTTAGAAATCAACTGCTTCTCTGTCTTTACATAAATAGTCATTTGCTTGATGCTACAGGATCCTTCAGGTAATTAAGTTGACCATATTTAGCTTTTTCAGACTGGAAAATTGTTAACTGTTTGTTTAATCAGAGRCTGAAAGATTGATTCAGCCTGGTTGAGATCTGAATCTTCACTATTGTCTGCCTTAAAACAAAGGTTAGGTAACTAAATCATTTCTTTTAGAGTCCCAAAGAGGGAAGAAAACTGGCTGTAGTGAAAAGGGGATCACTGGCTGACTGCTGCCTCTTGATTCCAGTGGGATTGTCATGGTTTAGTTGAGCAAGGAACTTGGTTGTGGCTTTAAACCATTCTCCCAGTTCCATATTTTAGGACAGTGTGTGCTCAGCTCTATCCTCTGCTACAGTATGTGGTGTGATAACATACTTTAAAAGTACTTTTGTTGCAAACATGTCTGAAAATGCAGACCTTCCCTATATGTACAAATATTCCTATTACACAGATCAAGAGARTGAGTTTTAATGTTCCAGAGCAGCTTCACATGATAACATTCTTCCTTCCTGGCAGAGCCTCAGGAACAGGCTGGGGGTGTTAATGGAGAAGTGATTTGAATACACCCTCTAGAAGTAATTTGCAATAAAACATGACCTATTTCAAGATATTAAAGCATAGTATCTGCACTGCCTTGCACTCTGAAATAAATACAGAGA